GTAGCTGTGTTACAACTCTATTCCTAGTTTTTGCATAATTCCAGAGTGAGAGGAGTCCTCCCCTCTACTTTATCGTCCCCTCCCGCCTCGCACGAGTCTGCCGTGGATCCGCATATGTTTGTCAAGAGAATCGCCGCTCGAATAATCGTTTAGGAAAGACGAATCGAGCGCGAATACAAAAATTACCAGTAAACTGACCATCTGGCAATGCAGCACTGGCCAGTGCTATTGGAAAGTTGCTAGTTGCGCATTTGGGGGACGCGCTTTGAGCCATAGCTGATCAAAGAATTAAAAAAAGTGTTCGAATTTAAAAAGGCAAATTCGAATATTTAAAGGTTCCGATGAAATTACGGGATTCCGCACACCGATTGTCCCGGGTGGTATCATGGTTTTTGAACACTAAGAATTTCATTAACTGAGTACCTCAGTTTCGAGATATCGACTTTTGTATTCAGCTACGGGCACTGAATTTTGCAATCCTTTTTCATCCAGAAAATCGCGCATTTTGGCGAATACGTTTACCGCTCGTTCACTGTTCGGCAAAGTCTGTAAAAACATCTTATTCTCTGAATCAAGTTATTTCAGTTAACACGCATTACAGCGTGGTACTTCTCTTTGTGAGTCAAATCAACAACATATTATAGCATGGTACTTCACTCGACTATTCAGCAATACCGGTTTTAGACTTTGACCGAAGAGGATCTGGTAGGATCTGAAGGGGATCTGGACAAATTCCAATAACATCACTAGAATGGGAATCCCAAATCAATCGTTTGGTAGTTATATGGTAGCATTTATCCGACCTGAGCTCTTTCCGTACAATTTCATAAGTGAATATAAGAAATGAAGATCGGTATGAAATGTTCAACTCATGACCACTCCGTCCCGAATTTCCCTGTATCAGGCTTGTTTAGAGGCGCCCTTGGGCTATCATCTCAATCTGATTAGCCTGTTGTGGAATTTTCATAAAATCATGATTAAGATCAGATTACCGCAATCAGATCGTTTTGGAGTCCACTTGGCTTTTATCGTATTGTTGCCCCAGTTCGGTTAGGTTGCTCGGAATTTGTCATATCCGGTTGATTAGGCTTTTCCGGATTTACCAGCTTGATATTTTTATAAGTCAAAAAACATTAATAGTTTATTGCAGATCATTCATATTTTACCGAAACAACATGACTTACCCTGTTCACTTCCGAAATGTTGTAGTAAACTGTCGTTGTTGGGAAATTCTAAAAAATAAGACGATAGAAAAAAAAAAAAAAAAACAGCAAATCTTTGTGTCAGGCATGACTAGCCAGCATGATATGGTGGGAAATTATACACTTTTTTGTGCATTATTTCGACGATTTGGCTCCGCCGGTGGAACAACCAATCCTTCTACGATTTGTTTCGATGAAAAATTGGTACTAGCATATGCCTGCCATAAGCAAAGTGTGAAATCCGCCATCAGTTTGTCTCAAAAGAGGTAGGCCTTCGATAGGTTGCTGGCTGGCGACTGTTGCTGGTATTTGCTACCACTCGGACTACTTCCCAGTGCCGTGGGAAAAAGCGAAAACAACGGAGGTTTGACTTCTGTTTTTTTAAAAAAGGATTAGCAGTACATTGGCAAGTAAATCGAAGAAG